TGAAGCCATCTGGCAGTGTTCATGGCTAGGTTGGATGAGCCTTGAGCAACCTGCTCTGGTGGGAAATGTCCCTGCCCAGGGCTGGGGTTGGGACTAGATGATCTGTAAAGTCCATTCCAACCCCTAAAATTCTATGATTCTATGATAAGCTGAGTCTTTGGGGGCTTAATGACTTTTTTTTTGGTTTGTTTTCTTGTGTTGAGCTTTTTATTAATAGCAGAGATATTTTTCTCAGTGCAACTTTTCTACTTTCCATCCCCAGAAAAGACAGATGGACTTGTTTTTTCTGCTGCGAAGCACAGGGACAGCTTATAGATGAATTTGCTTTGTGTCATTTAAACCACTTGTATTTATGAGTGAGGAAGTTGGCACTAATCACGTGATTCAGGGTGGAAAAATGACCTGCAGGCTGCTCCTGCTGCATTAATAGGCTTAAAGGAATTAGCAGTGATGTAAATACTAACTGTGTGTGCGGGTGGGCGAGCGCCGCAGCCCAGGGAGTGTTCTGGGTGAGGCTCTGCTCCTCTGGTTTTGTGCAAAAATAAACCCTCTGAAGTGAATAATCCCTTCTGATTTCGGATGAGCAATAGTAGTAATCTTTGCCATGATAGATGCTTTAATTAAAAATCCAAACAGCACCTCGGGGCATTAAGAACTGAAGGCTCAATTGGAGCCTGGAGTGGTGTTTGTGTGTCTCTAGCACCTTGTAGCTTGGTCCAGGATGAATCCCAGGTGCAGGTGTTGGGAAAGAGAGGAAGAGGAGCAGTAGGGAAGAGCCAGCCCTTGGTGTGCCAGTCTGTTACACACAGACAGGATTTCCAAAGGTATTTCTGATTCCATTTGTGTGCACAGAATGTGCCCCAGCACAGCCCAGGGGACCATGGCCACAGCCTCGAGAGCATCAAGAGAAACAGCACCCAAAACAGGGGTCAGAGGGACTTTGGGGCTCTGCCATGTGTTGTGAGGACATGCAGAGGACAGTGGCAGCATGGACCATGGCAGCACAGGCAGCTTGGCCAACTGTCCCTGAGCAGAGGAGGTCAGGGAGGGAATAACATGTTGTAGCTGATGGTGAAGGATTTACAACTGCAGTAGTAAGATTACAGTTGCATTACAAATATTAATAGCATCTGCAGTCCTCGTGCAGTTTGGTTTACAGTTGATCTTTTGAAATTGCCCCAAATTTTGTACGTTGCCAACTTGGGAGTATTTTCTCAGAGAGAAGCAGGTTTGTCTAAGCCAAGGTGTGTTTTGGCACTGAGACTCAATGTCTTAGGGTATGTGATATGTGGCATTGATGAAATGATTCCTCCTTACCAAACAGACTTTTTCCAAGTGGCAGGAGCTTTATAATTTTCACAGTTGGGTGATTATTGTTTCCCCCAAATATTTTGTTCTCCTTTTTCAAATACTGGTCTCTTTGGGGACACATAGCTGTTGTAGCATATCTGGATTTCAACCTGCAAACTGACATTGCTGGATTATGTAGGGGCAAATTGGGGTGCTGGAGAGCTAAAGTGTAATGAAACTAAGGCACAGATAGCATCAGAATGGGTAGATTGTGGCAGGAATGTTGGCTGCGAGCGAGTCGTGCGCTCTGAGCAAGGATTAGGTCCCAGTGTATACTCACTCGCGTTCCACTGAGGATCAAGTTTATTCCATTTAAGAAGCTCAGTGCCCCCTTCTTCTTTTCCAGGGAAAAAGGAACCCCAGAGTGATAGGAGGGAACTAATTCTCAGGTGCTGCAAGGCAGATGTTGTATTCACAGCTGGATTTTTCTGCTTGCAGCATCAGCCTCACTGCAGCAAGTGGTTCTGTTCCCCCTCTGGAGCACCTCACAAACCTTTGCATCCCTGGAATGTGAGAGCATTTTAATCGGATTTGGATGGCCTTGCTCAGAATAAGGAGTGGGAGAGGAAGATTTCATTAAGATGTTGTGAGATGGTGGAGGGGCAGATTGCTGGGGCTAAGCTGATTGGGTTAGTGGCTGTTCCGGTGAGGTCGGGACTGGCATCAGGGGTAAGTGTTTGAGACAGAACTCAAGTGGATTGGAAGCTGAAAGGGAACGGGGAAGGTGAGCAGAGTTCATTAGCCTCCTGAGAGAGGGAGCAGAAATGGGCAGGAATAAATCCCTGTGACTCCAGTGCCAGTGGGGGGTAAGTCTGGTCAAGGAAAGCTGAAGGTGAACTAACCATTTGCCAGGCTGCAATGTCCTGGTGGCTGGTTTTCATATCCACCTACAGGGATATGAAAACACCTACACCACATCCCATAGAATCTTGAAATAAGTGTTCAGTAATCAAAATTAATCAGTGAGTATGGTGAATTCACACCAAAATAGATCCAGTAAGAGGAGTCCAAAACTGCCCCTGCAGAAGCTGCCCAAGGGACAGGAGTGTGGCAACACTAAATGAGCCTCTGACTATAAAATAGAGTATGGGTTTCCTAAAAGTGAAGACTATTGCAGATTTTAAAGGGAAAAATACCCTTACATAGCCACTGCTACAAATATAAATATATTTTTGATTAGGAAAGTTCAGGTTACTTCTCATTGCTGAAATTCTGATTC